CCAATGGATAGAGCTTAAAACGCTGATTTCAAGCATACCTTCTATATCTGCGATGCGCTTTTCTATAGGAAGTTATAGGCCTTTCTTATGTCACATTCTCGTGCATTCTGAGTAGCAAAATCCCACAGAAAAGAATGCAGACTCAAGCAAACCGCCTAGCATTTAGGTCTAATCTGGATTCGTGAAGGTTTTCATCCTATGACATACTGTAGGAAAACGCATTGCAGATATAGAAAGCATATTTGAAATCAGTGTTTTAAGCTGTACCCATATGCATATATCACCTTCCGAATCGCCACACTAAGTGAACTTCCCTTGTAAAAATTTTCAACAACATACATCACTATTTGAGGCAATGGAGACGACTCTAGCACCGTAGTGATCTCGACAGTACACAGAGGACGCGACGTATTTCGGATCCGAAACCTGGATGTCTAGAAGAGAAGCTTAATTACGAGTAAAACAAGTTCCTACTAGTATCTTTGCACTCACCAGATGCCGTTACTAGCCAGGTCGTTACAGCACTTTTTTCGCCGCCAACATACAGTAACCACTCATGTGAGGAAAAGGATTGAGAGCACATACATGTTGGTTTAGCTTCGTTGTAAAGTTTGAATGCGTCCTTTCTTTCTGAATCTCATTCAAATGAAATTCTTCAAGAGTGAGTCAACATGTGTAGCATACCACCACCGTCAGCTTCTAGTGAGAAAATTGTAATTGAGTGGTCTGCGGCCACAGTGGATAACAAGGCTCCGTAGGAGTCCTCATGCATCAAAGATATGTCGACGATATCCGTACGATGTGGTGCATTGCTGATCTTTTTCACAGATTTCAGTTCCATCTGTGCAGTGACAAGACGCTTAATCGAAATTGAAATTATGCTGAGTCACAACGTCTCCAAAAGAAGCTCACTCCTTTTGCAATAAAGTCGAAATAATATCGTGTGCGGAGGTTTGAACTATTTTGAGCTGAAAAATACCAGCTTCTATGGGCTCCTCCGCAATCCACTTGATCGAGCATGCACTGATCATGGTAATCCACAACATAGAAAATGTTCTCAAAAATTTTCAATAAGATTACAGGAAAGATGCATGTCCACTGCAAACTCACACCGTTGAACGCTAATATTAATGTGTTATCAG